GAGAAAAAAAAGTATTAAAAGTATAATAAAATGTCACACACTTACTTATGCATATCAACGTTTTTAATGCGCTGGGTGTAGGGCATCCCCGTAAACTGTAAAATTATTAATTGCAGAAAACAAAGGTTCTGCAACAAAGAAAAGGCCATTAATATTGGAGAACCAGACCAAATTCTTGTTTCTAAGCAGACTGGATTTATGAACAGATATGGCCATACCTGCATTTTTATTTCTTAAAAAAAAAAAGTTAGGCTATTTTTCCCATTTTACATGCAGCACAGTGGTTATACTTTTCTGGTTCATGGTCAGCGGAAAGAATGGGGATGGAGGAAGGGTACAGTTGCCCATAGATACTAGGAGGCTGGAAATGCAGCTACAATCTGTGTCCTTCCCATTGAATAAATGGCTGTCCCAGCAGCACCACACCTATTAAGGTGCCCATAGACATTAGCTGCCTAAACCAGCATCTGGAGAAGGTAACCTTGTTTACTTTTGACCCTGATTAAGGGTAAACATTTGAACACCTGAAAAAGGAGTTAACCAAAATGTCACCTAAAATGATTTCTGGACTTTACTGCACACCACACCATTTGAGGTACACTCCAACACACTGCTGGTGTACGTGTGCTGTTACACTTGTATGAAACCACAATGCACAATCATGGTTAATGTTCATATTGAACTGAGAATTTATACATATTGCTGTGTACTGAGAATTTATATCGTTAATTTCCCTTAAGAAATAGTTTATTAACCTCAGTTTAGTTTAATACACTGCCATCTTGTGCTAATTTTGGCGACTGCACCACCTGCGTTTCTTCCCACATTGTGATGTACTTCTCCTTGCAATGCATTATGGGATAAAGATATCTGCAAGTCACACCCACATGCAAATCTGATCACATGGGGGAACCCATTACAATGTTTTGACCTATAAATGCAAATGGTGTAGCGCTAAATAAATACTAACATGCTCATGTAAAACAAATATAAATAATGTAAATACCACTAATAATACCATGTTAACATAAAGTGAAAACCGTGCAAAACACAACAATAAATGTGGAAGGATTCCCCCAACTAGGGGAATCAGACACATGTGGGCAATATGATCCCACTTGAAATAAAGGTGCAAGTGTACACACTCAGTGAAAATGATAAATGTCCAATCCAAATGATAGTCCCACACGCTATACAAATAATAACTCGTGATCCACAACAATGACTCGCATGTAAAAAAATACAGCACAACGTGAATCCAGTGCTAAACAACTTGTGAATCCACAGATAGCCAAAGTGCCCCCTCACCTGCTTGCAGTTACCCCAAGGGCCAGCTCACTTTAGGGAAAAATGCGCTTTTCCAGGAATAATCTTGTCACCACCAAATGGACCCTCCTGGATAATCCTACAGGCCAGTGATCCTCTTGATTTCTCCAATCCCCTGGTACTTTAAGTGATAATTCACCCATACAGGCACATGGGCTCAACACAGCTGAGAGGGGGAGGGGTGTCATACTAATACTGACCCACAACCACAGTTCTTCACACACGCCGACAATCACGTGTGACACGCAAGTCATTGTTGTGGATCACAAGTTATTATTTGTATAGCATGTGGACAATCATTTGGATTGGACATTTATCATTTTCACTGAGTGTGTACACTTGCACCTTTATTTCAAGTGGGATCATATTGCCCACATTTGTCTGATTCCCCTAGTTGGGGGAATCCTTCCACATTTATTGTTGTGTTTTGCACTGTTTTCACTTTATGTTAACACGGTATTATTAGTGGTATTTACATTATTTATATTTGTTTTACATGAGCATGTTAGTATTTTTTTAGCGCTACACCATTTGTATTTATTGTTTACTTGCACATTGTGGTTGAAAGTAGGTGTTAGCAGCTTAGGGTAGGGTATCTTCATTTGAGCGCAGGGGTTTCTTCTTATCCAAATGTTTTGACCTACAAACACCATTTTTTTTTCATTCATCTGCCACATCTTTTTGTCTTCATTGCAATAAAAGATCCATGTATGAAAAAGCTGAACTCCCCAAATACCTATCTGATAAAGGCTGTCCGCAGTGATCATGTATGGTCTGTATAAGCAGATACAGAGGTCTCAGCAAAGGAGACGTCACCAATACAACAGTTTGGAGTCAGAATACTGTGCATCTCAGATAGTCAATGACATTACTGCAGAGCAGACCATTTCTGGAAACTGCACTCAGATCTGAAAAGTCCCTGACACAGGCAGAGTTGAGACATTCCCAACCTGGGCACAGACATTTGCTGCACATGCTAAAAACTGCTGTAGTATCTGACCCAGAGGTCTGAAGATGCCATGGCTGCTGTGATATAATAGGGACACTTGAGGATCTGGTACCCAGAGACCAGATCTGATGAGTTTATTATCCTGGAAAATTGAATACTTACAGTAGTGTTCAAAGGTTTTAGGCAGGTGAACAAATGTTGTAAAGCAAGAAATATATATTGTAATTGCTTAATTTTATCAATTTACAAAATGCAAAGTTAGCAAACAGAAGAAAAATCTAAATCATATCAACATTTGGTGTGACTTCCCTTTGTGCAGGTGGACAACGTATGCAAGTGTAATTGATGCTTGTGTGAAGCCAAAGTCAAGTATTTTGTAGGATTAGAGTCAGGTGTGTGATGATCATTAGCACCTGCTTGGTATAGTTGGTCAATCAATTTCATATGTAGGCTGAACTCATTAAACAAACAGCTGAGTAGGAGGCTTAAAACTGAGAAACATCCAAACTTTGCTACAAAGTTGAGGTTTCAAGATGTGCTGTTCAACCTCTTTTGAAGGACAACAAAATAGGCAACGTTTGGGCCCGTAGAGTAGTGGTTTGCCAAGGAAACTTATGAAAGACATGACATCAAGAGATGACCAGCAGTGCCATCAGAAGTGGAAGAAACCAGTGGGACTCAGGTACATCCATCTACAGTCTAGAGAAACCTGGCCAGGAGTGGTCTTCATGGAATTACAGCCAAAAAGCCATACCTCCTATCTGGAAACAAGGTTATCAACTCAACTATGCACAAAAACATAGCAACTGGGGTGCAGAAAAATGGCAGCAGGTGCTCTGAACTGAGGAGTAAAAATCTGTAATATTTGGTTGAAGCAGAAGGCAGTTTATTCACCAAAGGGCTAGCAAGGGGCACAATGAGTGTCTGCAGGCAACAATGGAGCATGGTTGAGGTTTCTTGCACATTAGGGGCTGCATTTTTGCAGATTGAGTTGGAGATTTGGTCAGAATCAATGGTGTCCTCAATGCTGAGAAATACAGGCAGATACATATCCATCATGTCATACTATCAGGGAGGTGTGGGATTGACCCCAAATTTGTACTGCAGCAAGACAACAACCCCAAACAGAGCCAATGTCATTAAGAACTAACTTCAGTGTAAAGAACAAGGAGTCCTGAAAGTGATGGTTTGGCCACCACAGAGCTCTCATCTCAACAAACTCTGTCTAGGTTTACATTGAGACAGAAGGATTTGAGGCATCCTACATCCATAGAAGAGCTATGGTTAGTTCTCCAAGATGTTTGGAACAACCTACCTGTAGAGTTCCTTCAAAAACTGTGCACGTGTACCTAGAAGAATTGATGCAGTTTAAAAGGCAAGGGGTGGTCACACCAAATATTGATTTGGATTTCTTGGTTTATTTAAATCAACTAACATGGAAATTAAATGAACAAACACTTCTGTTTCTGAAAGCAGTCTTAATTTCCAGCATTTTTTCACACCTGCCTAAAACGTTTGCACAGTAATGTATTTTTTCTATGTATACTGTAATCAAAGTGTCTGTAAACCTTTGACATCAAACACGAACAAAACAAATCCCTCTATAGCAAACTTGTTTCAATCCAGAGCACCAAACATCATTTCAGTCTGCTGCTTTGTTCCTCTCTCTTTGAGTCACTTCTTACAAGTTTTTCTGACACTAAGAGAAAAAAAAAAGGTGATGGAGGAACCTCCAGCACACAGCCTGTGATTGACAACTTCATCTCTGTTCCTGTGTGCAAGGGGTGGGGGTGTCTCTTCCCTCCAATCAGCTCCCACTGAGCTCTGCAGAGTGCGACTTCAGATCTGCTTTCTGAAAGCTGTATAAATTCTGCACTTTAATTACACGTCTGTCTTCAGTTCTCTCCTCTACAATCAAATGTATGTAGGAAGATTACCTTCATCTCTGCAAACCTGTAAATAAAGCCAGTTGACTGGCCTCAGGTGATGCAAGCTTTAAATAAGATGACTACCAGGCTAACAATTGCACATTTTGTACATAGACAGTGCAACTATGCAAAACTTATACCAAAATGATAGGGAACATGAAAAATCCAGTTTTGTTCAGCTCCCCACATGGAAAGCTTTGGTTTAACTGTCTTATGTATGTGCAACCATCTTAATTACTATCCTCAAATTATATTGAGTGTTAGGCCCCTTTTACATGGGCATTGTTGGGGTGGCAAAACCAGATGGTTGAGGCTCAATTTTTAAAAACACCTTAGCCGTTTGTCAAAACCCTGTTAACAGCTTCGGGATATCCCCACACTGTGGCTGCAAGGCTACATATTGCAGAAAAAAAAAAAAAAAGGTAAGGCATCCACCATGGATTGCGAGTCAGTTGCAACATACATTTCTTTAGGACCCTTTCACATGTGCAAAGCTTCTAATACTGTTGTCAGAACATAATTTTACCACAATGTTGTCCTTTTGCATTTGTTAGAATAAACAGAAATTGCCACATAGAGGGAATTTGACTGTTTGTTCTTTGCTAGTGGAATTTGCCTTGTTTTCAGTTTAGTGAAGCACAAATATAGAATCCCATCTATGATTACTCACCAAAAAACACACCATAGGTCTCTATTTTCTCTCGGTGTTTCTTAGCCAAATTAGAGATGCTGTCAGCATAATTCTTCAGCTCCTTGCCATAATCCTGGACATTAAATGGTAGAATGGCTGAGTCAGCGAGCTTGTACACCAGGCTTCCCCTCATCTGGGCTACCGCGAGTTGTTTCTTGAATGTTGGATCATAAAACTGATTCACTAGCTCAAATGTCTCATATACTGTGTGGTAGACCGGGTAATTGCTGTATTTGTCTGTTTTCTGTAATCGGAACAAAATCAAATCATACCAGACATGGTTTTGTATGCTGCATACTGACCTGCTTTATAGGGGACACATAGTGGTTCATATATACATTTTTTTTTTTTATTTAATTATGCCAACATCTAAAATCAGTGCAAGTTTCTTTTAATGATGCATTAAATATTGCTTCTGCAATTTTCATAGCCAGCTATCAGGTGGAGCTCTCGGGACTATACAGACAAATAGGGGTTTATTTACTAAAGCTGGAGAGTCCAAAATCAGACTCACTTCTGCATAGAAACCAATCAGCTTCCAGGTTTCATTGCCAAAGCTTCATTGAACAAGCTGAGGTTAGAAGCTGATTGGTTTCTATGCAGAAGGGAGTCTGATTTTGGACTCTCCAGCTTTAGTAAATAAACCCCATAGTGTCAAAAGGGTCCAAGGGCTTTGTTGGGAAATAAACCTGCTTTTAAGCTTGAGATATTGAGCTCTGTAGACAGAAGTATAGGATTTTTTTTATTTCCAAAATCAGACTTGCCTAGGTGGATGCAGCACTGGTCCAATGCTACATCTGTCCCCCACCGTCTCTGAGCAGAGAGCTTCAGCTTAGTTACCACAGTCTGCTCCGAGTGCTGGGCTGTGGAAGGGGAGGCTCTGAATCAGCAGATTATGGACAGGCAGGTGCTGCTCCAGACTCTGGGGTGGATCCCGACTTTAAAGCTGAGATCTTTCCCCAGCCTGGATTGGCTGAGTGACGCCAGCTGACAGCGGGCTTCAGCCCACTGTCAGCTGAAAACGGGTCACAGGAGTGCAAAATGAACTGCACTCCTGTGATCCATAAAAGTACAGCCAAAATGAACTTTGGCTGTACTTCTCCTTTAAATGTACACAGCTGAATTAGTCTCCCATGCTGTCCAGACAGCTCAGTAGAAAGCGATAAAACGAATTGGTTTTAAATGGAAGTCACCACAAATAATTTAGGGTCTAAAGTGGTTGTAAATCCTTACATACACCCAGAGGTAGGACTAGCCTCAAGTGATGAAAAGAAATCCTCCACAAGTTATACCCATTTATCTGCAGCCCTCTACTCTACAGCTGTTCAAAGTACACAGTTTACACAACATCTTGAGGTTCAGAAGGCGAGGGGTGGAGATCTGATATCACACTACACAGCACAGAGCAGAGAACCAAGCAATCAGACTTTAGTAAAGGGAATGGACACACCCCTTCTACACAGTCTCCTAGGGAAACATGCACATTTGACCCTGTCGATTACTTGCTGTGTGCTGGGGAAGGGGGGGGGGGGTCTCCTGGGACTGCTTGATGTCTGAAAGACACCACTTAAAATATTTAATATCTGCCCTGTTACAAGCCTGAAAGAGGATTCATCACTTCCACCTGGTATGAACAGGTTTTATTGTGCAAGGCTGGCTGGGTATCACATTGCAGTAATCCGCTATAGGGTCCCAGGCATGATTTAGGGCCCCATTAAGTTCTGGAAGCTCAGCAATAGTTGCACCTTGTGTAGTGGTCCATACCATAAAACACGTGTCTCACAGCCAGCTCACCCTATTTTTTGTGTATCGTGTTCTTGCAGATGCCAACCCTAGACGCTGAAAATATGCCTCGAAGTCACTGCCGGAGCCAAGCTTGTTTATCCTGCACAGAAATAAAGAAAAGAACGTAAAAATAGAAAGCAGCAGAATATGAAAGTGACTGCCCCCGCGCAACCCTGCTCCCCCCACCATGTCCCACATGCTGACCGGCATAGTGGGTGTCATCGGGTAGAGCGGAGGGAAACCAGAAAACATCCTTTTGCCGATTGATCCCTCTACAGTGAAGGATCATGGGAAATTGATGCAGCTGCCACAGATTATGGGTAAGCTGCAATAGGATTTCAATACATTACATTTTTTTTTTTACCCGCTTTAAAAACTTTACTATGGCGCAAAAAAAAGAGGGTTCCTTAACCACTTGACCTCTGGAAGGTTTTAACCCCCTTCTTGACCAGGCCATTTTTTGCTATGCCGCACTGCACTAATTTACTTGGTAATTGCATGGTCATGCAATACTATACCCAAACAAAATGTATACCTTTTTTCACACAAAATAGAGATTTTTGGTGGCACTTGATCATCACTATTTTATTTATGCCATATAAAATTAAATATACTGAAAATTTTTAAAAATAAATATTTACTTCTGTTATTAAAATATCCAATAAACTAAAATTTTGCCATAACTTTAGGCCAAAATGTATTCTGCTACAAGTCTTAAAAAAATCCCAATAAGTGTATTTTAATTTGTGCAAAATCTACAGCGTCTACAGATTGGTGTATATATGCAGATTTTATTTTCTGACTGCCTATCATTTCATGAGATGCTAAAAAGTGTCAGGGCAGTACAGCCAACCCCCAAAATGACCCCTTTTTGTAAAGTATCCAGAGTATGGGGACACCACACACCCAAGGCTTTTTAAGAGCCTAGCCAAATCTGGGGATCGAAAAACAATGACCACGTTCAGACTTTAAAAATGGGTGAAATGTCCTTATTTTACTTCATCACTATTATCTGTTGGAGACCCTGAAATGACAGGATAAGGCACCCCCCCAAATTACGCCATTTTGGAAAGTAGACACTCCCAAGGTATTTGCAGAGAAGCATGCGGAGTTCCTGGAAAATATTTGCTACTAGTCTTCAGAAAAATGACTACTACACAAAAGTTGTCACTTAATGAGATATTTATCACACGTGCTATTGGTACATGTGGAATTACCCCCCCAAAAAACAAACAAACATTCTGCTACTCCTCACGAGTATGAGGATACCACATGTGAGACTCACAGCCTAACCCCAAAATCCAGTGACCACCTTCAGGCTTTCAAAAGAGCATATTTCCTCAGGTCACTTCCCATCACAGTTTTGGAGGCCCTGAAATGCCAGGATAGTAAAAACAAACCAACCCCCCTTTCCCCAAATGATACCATTTTGGAAAGTAGCCACCCCAAGGAATTTGATGAGACATGATGAGTATTTTGCAGATTTTAATTTTTTTGCGACAAGGTTTTTGGAAAATTAAATCTGCAAGATACTTGCTATGCCTCAAATTCATTGGGGTGCCTTTTCAAAAAGGGGTAATTGTGTGGGGTTTTTGGTACTAACTGGGGTTTTTCAGGCCTCCAAAACCAATAGATAGTGAGGAAGTGAAAAGAGGAAATTACACCCTTTGAAAGCCTGAAGGTGGTCATTAGTGTTGGCCCTCATACGCTCCCAAAAGTCTTACATGTTTTATCCCCATAACTGGCATGTGTGGGAAATCTCAAAGTGACAAAAAAAGTTGTCAAAATATAGTCTTCCATGCACTCAACATGACTCTCAGCAAATACTTTGGGGTGTCTACTTTCCAAAAATGAACCATCTGGGGGGTGTATGAACTGTCCTGTCATTTTACGCCCAACATTAGAAGCTTATGCCACACTCACTAACCACTTGAAGCCTTTTCTGACACTTTACTTTGAAAAAATATATTTGGGGTTTCTAAGTAATTTTTGTGCAAACAATACTGACTTTTACATGTAAGCAAAGGCCCTAGAGAATTAAATGGTGAATTTTTTTTAATCACTCTGTATTTTTTCCAAATATTTAGTTTGGTAAAATATAAAAGAGTATTTGTGCAGCAGTTTTTCAAACAATTGGGTTTTATATTGGTTTTTGTGCAAGAAATTCAAAAGGATGTTACACCGAGTAAATAGATACCAAACATGCCATACTTTGAATTGCGCATGCTGTGTAACTGAAAAATTACATAAATTATCCATAGGCAACGCTTTAAAAGGTTTTTATAGATTTGCAGAAGAGGTCTAGCACTAGAATTACTGCCCTCGATCTGATGCGTTCACGGTGATATCTCACATGCATAGTGCAATCACTGTTTAGGACCATGTGTGTTCACCTGTGCAGGTGAGCTTGGTGAGACAGGGCATTAAGTTTTTTTTTATATTTTATTTTTTACACTGTCTTTTTAAATCACTTTTATTGCTATCACAGGGAATGTAAATATCCCCTGTGATGGCAATAGGCAGCAAAAATGTACTCTGAGAAATCTGGGGTCTATTAGACCCAGATCCCTTCTCTGCCATCAACAGAATCTGATCACACCAAGATCAGGGGCAGGGGCGGACTGACCATTTGGAAACTCTGGTACTGCCCGAGGGCCCGGGGTCAGTAGGGGGCCCCATGAGATGCCCCTGGCACCTTTTTCATAGGCTTTTTTGAGTTTCACAGGGGCCCATGATCCCCTATTGCCCAGGGGCCCCATGAGTTGTCAGTCCGCCCCTGATCAGGAGTAATCAGATGCTTTCCCCAATTTAAAAATGGTGTCATTTACGTCTTGCGAAACCAGAAGAAAATAAATGCTTCGTTTCATGGGTGCATGCAATTTGCTGAAGTTTTTTTTTTATCTTCATGCATTCCATGTACAAAATGTAAAAACCTTCAATGTACAGCTCCCCCCAGTACTTTCCTGAACCCAATCTCGATCCAGTAATGTGCACAAGAGCAACAGCTTTCCTGGGTTTTCTCATTGGGTGATACACAGAAGCAGCAGCTATTGGCTCCTGCCAATCACAGCCAATGAGGAGGGAGCATACACGAGCCCCTAGAGCAAGCAGCTTGAGAAGAGGATCGGGGCTGCTCTGTACAAAGCCATTATACATTTGCATAACCAAGTCTTTACAACCACTTTAACTTGACATGTCTGGCACATTTATGTGGGGCAACCTCATCTTCTATTTTATCAGAAAAAAAAAAAAAAGTGTAAGGTATTGAGTGCACCAAAATTAACTTTTTTTTTTACTGCAAATATGCATTTGATAACTTAATTGATGTCTTTAATTTGGCAAGTGGTGAGCTACTTTACCTTGGTAGCTCAGCATTCTGTGTGGAAGGATCTTTGTCGAGCCAGCTTTCATACAAGGATCTGCCCTCATAGCCCTCGTCTGGACTCGATATCTGGAAAAGAATTTGCAATGACGTTTACTGGATACTCCAGCCAAGGCCTTTTTCTTCAGGATTTAATGAGCAAGGGTTAGGACATGTGTTCCTTGATTTGTGTTTTTTTAACCCACTAAGGCCAATTTCAGCCAAAATTGTTTTTTTATCTCCTAAATTTTTATTCTGAGGTTTAGTTGTCCTTTAAACCTTAATACATTTCAGCGTACATTTTTTGGAAGAAAGATATTGTGTGTGGTAAATGCACTGTATGTATGTGTGGGAATGAGCACTGATGCACAGAAGCATTGGCATTTCTAAGAATACAGGGGCGTACAGACTATGGACGTTATACACCACCTTTGGCATCTAGGAAAAAAAAACAACAGCATTTTACATTAGGCATATTTTCTCAGGTGTGATAAATTGAATATTTATGGAGTGTATTTTTAAATGATGTTCCACTGCAATATTAACTCACCAGGTGTAGGATGGGACCAAGCCCAGAGAATCCAAAATTTGAATATAAAACATTACATTTTTTAGCAAAGACCCTAGAGAATGAAATGGCAACCTTTGCAATTTGTTTATGTCATGTGGCATTTGCATCAAGCAAAATTGTTGAAAAAAAAAAAAATATATACCTCAGCTACGGTACTTAAATCTCGATAGGCAACACTTTGTAACTCTAAATGGGTAACCTGTACATTTTTAAAGGAGGTCTAGTGCTAGATTAACCCCCTTCCTGACCAGGCCATTTTTTGCATTACGGCAGTGCGTTATTTCAGCTAACAATTGTGCGGTCATGCAACGTTGCACCCAAATTACATTTACGTCCTTTTTTCCCACGAATTGAGCTTTCTTTCAGTTGTATTTGATCACCTGTGCGGTTTTATTTTTTCTGCTATTGAAAAAAAAATATTGACTTTTTGCTATTAAACATGTCCAGTAAAAACCATTTTTGAAAATCTAATTTTGTCATAAATTTAGGAAAAAAATGTATTCTGTTACATGTCTTTGCTAACAAAGAAAAAAAAATCCCAATACGTGTAAATTAATTGGTTTACGTGAAAGTTATAGTGTTTACAAATGGCAGTATATACACACACACTGGGATTTTTTTTTTTTTTTAATTTTTACTAGTAATGGCGGTGATCAGCGAGACTGCAGCGGGACTGCAGCGGAAATTCTGACACTGGGGGGAATTGACTTGGTGCCACTGACATCCCCAGTGACACCAATACAGTGATCAATGCTAATAAAAAGCACTGACACTGTACTAATGGCACAGGGCAGGAAAGGGTTAACATCTGGGGTGATAAAAGGGTTAACTGTGGCCGCTGTGATTGGCCTTTTACCTAGTCATGTAATAAGTTGTGTCCATAGGACACAGCGATCACTGACAGCGCCGGTTGTAAGCCACTGGAGACGCATTCTGGGAGGACACCATCCTAGAACTGGACAACCACACTGTAGCTGTCTTTGTTCTAATTGAGTGGTTAATTCTTTGGCTAATTGAGGGTCATAGCCCACCTGTCACCTTTTTGTCATCTCTGTCCCATTGGGGAGGTTTCCCTTCACTTCCTGTCCCATAGCCCAAACAGGAAGGGAGAGGAAATCCCAACAGAGTTAAGAAATCCCAATCTGTGAGTAATAACCCCTGGTTGACACCATTTATCTGTAAAAAGAAAAAACAAAAAAACCCAAACACACACCATACTACCTAAAACGTATATATAAAGATGAATAGTGCTGCACTATTGGAAAAAACTACTAACCCCCAAAACTTAACTACACAAAAACACATAAAATAGCAATTAATAATATTATATATCCAACTCAATCTGTGAGTAATAATATCAATCAATAAGGTCCTATTAAAAAGGGAAAAATGTATAATGGTCATTTCAGTGCTTTTTGAAATAATGGTGACACAGACCAAATGGTGTATATTGAAGTCCAACTAGTCCCCTAACATGGGGCGTGAAAACACTAAACCGTAATGAATATTTGATAAACACATGTGAATATACACAATAAATAAATGATCATGGTTAAATACTATGAAAAAGTCTTGATTTTTTAAATTCAAAGTGACAGTCCATAATGTCGACCAATAGTTCGCGTGACAATCTGAAGTGGAAGTGAATTTGTTTCTAGGAATCTTCTCCTTTAATATATACTATTTTGTGATATCCACCACCAGCAGGCATGCATGCTCACCTCCACAGATTGACCCTTTGGTGTGGCACAGACAGGCACACATCACATAGGTCAAATAAAGAAACACTCCAAATTCTTCGTCTTCCTCTGTGTCCTGGTGACTGAGAGCTCCACATCACCAAAACCAATGGGGTAAATAAGAGAAAGGGGCCTTTCATAGTGTAATAGAGTTAATTAAAAACAACAAAGGGGATGTATTTACAAGAGTATAGAGGCTATTCGCCTGGTAAAACAAAGATGGCGGCAATTGTCCGCTGTACCGGAAATGACGTCACCACGCTTCTAGATTCGCTCTATTATGGACTGTCACTTTGAATTTATTTTCACAGTATTTATATGATCATTTATTTTTATTAATTTTTGTTTTTTTATTCATTGTGTATATCACAGGTTTATCATCAATACTCATCACAGTTTAGTGTGGTTTTCATGCCCCATGTTAGGGGGTTAGTTGGACTTCAATATACACCATTTGGTCTGTGCCACTACACATTTTTTTCCCCTTTAAATTGGATAGATAAATATATCTATGTCCTGTTAACCCATGAGTAATAATATCAATCTATCTATATCAGCACAATGGGTAAGTGGTTAGCACTTCCGCCTGGCAGTGCTAGCATAGTTGGTTTGAATCCCATCCACGGCACCACCTGCCTGGAGTTTGCATGTTCTCTCTGTGCCTGAGTGGGTTTCCTCCAACACTCCAAAGACATGCTAGTAGGTTAATTGGCTCCTGTCCAAAGTGGCCCTAGTATGTGTATGAATGAGTTAGGGACCTTAGATTGTATGCCCCTTGAAGATTAGGGTCTGGTGTGAATGTACTATATATATATATATATATATATATATATATATATATATATGTAAAGCGCTGCGTAAATTTGATGGCAAGTACCTGGAATAAATATTTGTTTATGTGTTTTGTGTAAAGTAGGGGTTAGTAGTTTTTAGCGCAGCACTATTCATCTTTATATATATTTCTAGTTAGTGGTGGAACACATTTTTTTGGTGCTTGCTGGTCTTTGGTTCAGTTTAGTTTTTGTCACTCATGTGTCAGCACATAAGATCCTTATTACTACCTAAAACTTGCCACTCGAGTTCCAGGTGGGACCAAATAAATGTGGTACTTAGCAATCAGCATTATGGGGCACCAAGAAAAATGGGACAATTTCAGACAGCCCCCTCCCACCTCACCTGATGCCAAATTACAGCAAAACCTGCAGCAATGAGTTTCTGTATAATATTTCACTACAGCTGTATGTATGCCATCAGCAGACAAAAAAAACTGTAGTTGTACAATTTAATAGATTTTCCTTGTTACTTGGAGAGAAGCAAGTCATGATTTACAATTCAGATCTCTCGAGAGGCACTGGTGACATAGCCTTCCCAGGAGCCATCTGAGCTTAGGACTACAGAGCCTGGTGCTTCAACACCAGGAAAAACCCAAACTGTATAACACTTTTTTTTTTTGCAAGAGGTCTTTAGATTGGCACGCAGAGTTCGTTTTCAGGGTTAGTGTGGAAAGGTACGCTTTAATGTCTACACCTCTCCTCTGAACCAAGGCCCATGCAATATAAACACAAAAAAGTTTTGCTCCTTCAACTGTTCTTGGTAAAATCAATTTTTTCCATGCTCCCTTTATTTTTGTGATAACAGATCCTCTAACCAGCCATAAAACCGAAGCTGTTGCGCTCAGAAATAATTCAGTTCTTGAGAGCAGACACAATGTTGTTATAACATAAAACTAACTGGAACACTCTGCAGGGAAACCCTCATAAATAGGCATTCCTACAAAACTGGAGCAACATTGCCATCTGCTGGATAGATCAGATATTGCACGCCCATATCATCAAAGACCTCTAACATATTCTCCAATAAGTCAGCTATCTATGGATCCTCATTTGGTTATGAAAGTGATGGTAATGATATCCGTATTCTCCAGAAACAATTCATACACATCCACTACCTAATGGACCTGTAATCTTCCATGACATTTTTTGTGATTTTCTGTCCTCCACGAGCTCCTGAAGCTGTCTCAGCCTTTGCACATAACATGCACTTCTCATTCCAAACACACAAATCCCATAGTCAGTCTCAGGAGTGAGCAGAAGAGGGTGGCTACATACAGCGGGACCAGGGGTGGACTGACCATTTGGAAACTCAGGCATTGCCGAGGGCCCGGGGTCAGTAGGGGGCCCCATGAGATGCCCCTGGTACCTTTTCATTGGCTTTTTTGAGTTTGGGCAAGGACACAGGGGCCCCATGATCCCCTATTGCCCGGGGGCTCCATGAGTTGTCAGTCCGCCCCTGAGTAGGACCATAGAGAATGAATGTAGCCACCTGCTAAGAGGAAGTCAGATCAAAGCAGGAGGGCCCGGAGTCAGTAGAGGGCCCCATGAGATGCCCCTGGTACCTTTTTCATAGGCTTTTTTTCAGTTTGGGCAAGGACACAGGGGCCCCATGATGCCCTATTGCCCGGGGGCCCCATGAGTTGTCAGTCCGCCCCTGAGCAGGACCATAGAGAATGAATGTAGCCACCTGCTAAGAGGAAGTCAGATCAAAGCAGTAAACAAAGAAACACAAAAAATCCCACAACAAAAAAAAAAAAAAAAAAAAACACACAAAAAACCCACAAAAAAGGGGGGGGGGGATCTGGAGGTGGGTGGGACCTAGCCCTTCTTGGAGTGTCTAAATACTCACTGTGCTGGCCCAGCTCCTCCACCCCTCCCCAGTCTACCTACATAACCTAATGTAACAAAAGGGGAATACTGTAGTGTGTCACTTGAATGGCGGTTCTG